AAAAAAAAAAAAAAAAGGGAGAAACAAGCAAATTTTTATCAACTTTACTTTCACACAGGTTTTTTGCTTTATAACATACTTTATAAAATCGTTCTTAGAAAACCAAGCAAAATTTTAATTATCTTATGTAACTAGATCTTATGTACCAAGTAAATAGCTAAATCAAATTTTTATAAGTTTTATGCTTAAGAAAGTCTTCCCTTTATCTGGTGTCATATTCCTAGGCCTCATATTTTCATGGACCTTTTGTTCTTTCCGTCCATCCCTCTAAATACCTTTTGTTTGTTCTGGAATTTGATCATAAGAGTTGAGAGTTATCTGTATGGTTTTGCTTTATGAGTTGCCTGTATCTGATGATGAATGTTAATAGCATTGTCTGTGCTTACGTTCCTCGATCATTGTTAGATGTCAAGGGATCCAGTGGAGCCTGAAGTTCTTGAGAATATAAATTGCATCACACCTAAGTTAAATAAAAGTGATCTGGTCCTTAGGCCAGTTTCTGAAGATGAAGGAGGGGAGGGTTTGCCATATGCTCCTGAAAATTGGCCCAATCCCGGTGATAACTGGAGATGGAGGGTGGGGAAGAGAGTTGCTATAACTGGCCATTTTCTGGATAGGTACCTTTATCCTCCTTGCCGTCTTGGTGTTCCTGAGAACACATCTCATAGAGGGCAGCTTCTTGCAAGCAAGCTTTCAGTTGAAAGATATATCCAGTCTGTGAACCCTAATGTAAACGTTGATGCATTTTTTGCCTCATTCTGCTGGAAGATACCAGCAAAAAAGTTGGCCTCAGCGCAAGGTTAGCTCAAGAAATTTTGCTGTTGTAGTTCCATGAACTTCATTATAAATCTCTGTTCTAGCATTCTCGGCTTGCCTCTTGTATCTGAAATGCAAGATTGATGGTTTTGTTAGATGAAAGTGAATGCGTATTAAAGCTGATATATTCCTGACGTAGAAATAATTGTCTTAAATGAAAAGGTTTCTCATGATCATGTAATGCATTGAATTTACGTTGCATTAGGTTCGTCTTTCTTGTGACAGGTAGTCTCTATTACTTTCTTTTTATAACCTCATAATAAATTCTTTCGGTTAGATCATGGCACCTAGTATTTTAGTTCAGGTAGTCTCAGAAACTATTGTCATTCCCTTTCTTACTTACTAGAATTTAGATCTTATTCGCCGGTTGGTTCTTTTTTGTTGGGATAATGGCTAACAAGCTTGACAGCTTAGGACTCTATCCATATTCTGAAATTTGCAGAATTTAGATTTGTACTATGCGTTGTAATGCATAATTATTTCTATATCATTAATTAATATGTTTGAAGAGTGTGAGTATGTGTCTGTTGCTGTACAACTGTGTCCTTGAGTTCATAATAACTGTTGTATTTTTTTTGTAAAGATCCTGATTGTAAAGTGTCATCTTATTTTAGGTGTGCGAGGAAGACAAGATCCATGCCCTCTTCCCTCAAAAGAGACGAAAGAATGCACAGCATCTGATTCCCAGATTCTGGGTTGCAAGGCTGGAAATATAAACTGTAATAGTTTATCTCTTGTAGCAAACCCATCTTTATTAAAATCAATGTCCTGTGATATTTGCTGCAGCGAATCTTGGTTTTGCCGTGATTGCTGCTGTATACTTTGTTCCAAGATTATAAACATGACCAGGAAAAGTTATAGCTATATTAAATGTGAAGCAAAGGTAGGTGATGGGGATATTTGTGGACATCATGCTCATATAAAATGTGGTCTCAAATCATATATGGCTGGGACAGTTAGGGGGAGCATTGGATTGGATGCTGAGTATTATTGTCGACGTTGTGATGCTAGAACAGATTTGGTATCACATGTTGAAACATTTTTGCAGTTATGTCTATCAACCGATTGTTGTGATGACATTGAGGAGTTCTTAGGCATTGGTTTCCGCATTTTGCGTGGTTCACGCAAAGTGAGAGCGAAGGAATTGTTGAGACATATTGAAGTGAACATTGCAAAGGTAAAACTAGAAAGTTCTACAACTACTAAATAATTTTACAATTTCTTAGGCTTATGCTACTCTGAGAACTTAACAATCTATTCGACTTTGAATGCTTGCGTCAGCTTAAAACTGGGACTTGCTTGGAAGATATATGGAAGATGGATGAAGACATCTCAGCGAATTGCACTGGTAATTTTTCTTCAAATCAAATAGCATGGTTAAGTTCCTTCTGCAGTATAAGCCTGAGAAATTGTAAAACTAGTTACCAGTGTATCATTACTTCTGCAGCAAACACTTCTTAAGAACATCGTCTCTAAATGTGGTTAGTGATATAATGTGCCAAAGATCTAGTATGCTCACCAACCATTTACGCAATCAATCTTTGATACTCTTGCCTGTTAAGAGGACGATTTTGTATCTTATACGCAGATGCAAATGGTAGCGCGAATTCTACAGAAAGTTCTCATGACACTTCAGACTCCTTTATAAGCTCAGAATGGACCATGTCCACCCCTTTCGATTATTGGACTGAATCCCTAAAACTGGAAGACGAGATTGAACAGGTTCTGCAGGCACTGAAGAGATCACAAGAGTTGGAGTACAGTTTGGCAGAAGAAAAGCTTCTGTTACATAAAAATTATCTACATAATCTATTTCTGCAACTCGGCAAGGAACAAACTGAACTCAGACCTCGAACATCATCAACTAGACAAAAGGTCTTTCAGAATAATGTAACAAATAGAGTGGATCAAATAAAACGAGAAGTAAAGAAACTGAAGAGAATGGAAAAGGTTGCTGATGGATTTGGACGAACTCCTAAAGATATCCTGAAGGAGGACTTTGGTTTTGAAGTTGATTAGACAGACATGGGCACCATTGGCCATTATGATTCATTTAGCCTTTATATAGTCAGGCTTTATCAGGTTTTTACTGTGTATCATATGGCTTCACATGAAGCGAGGATATCGAAAAGGCGTCAACTTCTCAACAAGCTGGATTCTGCAATCAAAATACCGAAACTATGGAGTTATGGAGTTACTGAAAAAGTGTAGAGTAGAGATATCTTGGTGCATTACCCTCTGTTTTCACGGTATGCCTTCAAATCAAAATTTCAATGCCATGTCTTTTTAGATTTTCTACTGACCAAACAGTTATCTGTGCTCATAATATTATTATCTTTGTTACTTTTGTATTTGAATAGATGAACAAATGAGATCAATTATGTTTTGAATTCTTGAGAACATTGGACCTCTTCTCAGATAAATTTCCTCGTCTCCACTGGTTGCTCGATGGATTGCTTGTCATTGGCTTCTAACTCAGTAAGGATCCTGTCTCTGGTTCAGGCTTCTTATCGCTGCTTGCGGAAGAGGTACTTTCTTTTGACTACAATGCTTAGAAATAAAACATAACCCCATTTATTACGTAGAAATGAGGCTTCCATCGCCATTTTGTTTAGCAGGAATTGAGAATGAACATGATTTTTGCAGCTATGGGTGACTATTCTGTTCTTTTCTTCATCATTTGGCTTCTCCTTCCCTTTCGAATGTATTTTTGTGATTGTAGTGAAAATGCAGTTTTTTGTTTAATCCAAATGCAGTTAATTTTTATGCAATCAAAGTAATTTTTATTACAAAAAAATTGATAATTAAAAACATTTTTTTAAAAATAAACATTGATTATAAAAAATTGTCTTATAAAAACTTGTATCTTTTTTTATTCCAAAAGGATTATTTCTCTAAGCCAATGCTCAATAGCCACAATAAAATGATGAAAGCTGAAAGTAATGCCGTACTCACATGGTCGGCTACAATGATAAGTCTTTTATGCTTTTGTTTGTTTGTCATACATTTTGAGGCTCCCACACAATGCTCTCATTTTATTCCTTAATTTTAATTTTAATGGTGACTCATTCATGCAGACCCGATGTATTCAAATCAAAACTCTACAACTCGAATGGTAGAGTTTTGTAGACTCTCGGAGCTCATACTATGGTGGAGGAGGTGCCGTGAAGATTTAGGAGTGTGAGTAGTATGAGCTGAAAGGCTCCCATACTGTTTGGAGGGCAGGGGGCATAGATGCCAAACAAACCAAACCTACCCCTATCTATCATCGTAGAAGCAGTTTCTAGGAAAGATTATGGTTCTTGGAGACATTATAATGATCTATAAATTCATATTTGCAGTGCTTCAATTTTCTATCCATCCTTGTGCAATACAACACACGAGTACAAATTCAAGGAGTCCAAACATGACCCACATGAACGAACATTAAAAAGACAAAGATATCAAGGAGCATTGCATGCAGGCAGTCGTTTCCCAAATGAACAGATGAACAATCAAAGGGAAAAATGGCAGATACGAAAAGGCTTAATAAAAGAAGGTTTTGTGTAAATTTTTGCGCCACATTATGGTTGTAACTTTCAAAACCATAAAGTAAGGAGCATACGAACACATAGGACCCATAAATGGACAAGAAAGAAGCAATACATTCCAAGCCAAGATTATTATCACAAGTGCTTCAGAACATGGCTAAACCACTAACAAAATGCGTTGGCAAATGGCTATCCAATAAGGAAATCAAAGCAAAGGGAGAGCATGAAAACAACATCTTCTGTGTAGAACTATCCAGTTGAGCTATCAAATGAAACCCATATTTCAAACATGGGTTACTCAACTCGAGCTGGTGTTACGTTTTTGCAAGTTCTTGTGATGGATTCATTTGATTTGGGTTTTCTTTCTAAATATCATTTAATGGGTCATGAACTGATTCAGCAATGGAAAACTAACAAGAAATCTGGAAGAACATTGATAATGATGTAGTAAATTTCCAGCACTTAGTACAGAAACCAAAAAAAAAAAAAAGAAAGAAAAAAAAGGGAAGGATTCCATTTACTGTACAAGAACAAGCCGACCTTCCATTCCATCTCTGAAGCTCCCGCTCCCATCTCCCCAGATGTCTCCTCCACCATCTTCTGAATTCTCCTCCTCATTACCCTTTGGAACAGTAACTATAAGCTCTCCGTCGACAAAGGCGGCACTCGCAAGCTCCGGCCGCGTCGTCTCCGGTAGCCGGAACCTCCACATATCCAATTCGAGCTCATCAATTGCCAATTCCAACGATTCATTTTCACGCACAACGATCTTAATTACCCCAGGATGGATTTCCACAGCATGAGCCCTTACTCGATCGCTAATTCTACCATCAGTTTCAGCAACGAATCGAAAACAATCACGATTCTCTTCCACCAAAACGTCCGCATCAGATCGAAATGGAAGCTCAAGAACCCGACTGAAGATATGTGGTAATCTACTGAGTTTCTTGTGGTTCAGAAGAGATTGATTCTCGAGAGAGCTTCTCGAATTGGGGTTATTACGAACAATTATACTACGATTCCTCGGCAATGGGTGGACCTTCATGGCGGTGGTGTTGATTGATTTCAAGCTCCTTCTTCACACTCGCACACAAATTAACAGAGGAGAGAGAAACAACAACAAGGAAATCAAAGATGCCCTAGAGGAAAAGGAAGAATCATAAAGGAATCAAACGAATTGATACGAACAAAAAACAAAATGGATGAAGAAATTAGACACAGAAATCGAATTAGAACCCTAAATTTTCAGAAATGGGGAGTGGAAAAGGGAATTGTGAGATCGAGGGATTTGAGAGAACGGGGAAACAGAATCGGAACGGAGGAAGAAGAAGGCGTTCCAGGTAGAGAAAGCAAAGGGAGGGACGAACAAAGAGCAGAGAGAATCGCTCAGCAGATATAAAGGAAAATTAAGTTTTTTTTTAAAAAAAAATTATTTATTTTTTTTAACCTTAATTTTCGATGAAATTACAAAGTCGGTCATGTTATTTTAAACAAATTCCAAGTGGATGATTTTTTAAATAAAATTAATAAATTTTTGTGTTTAATAGGTTAACATACAAGGTGCCTGATTAATTGAACAATATACCTTAATTAATCTTTAATTAAGCTTATCATTAATAGATGATAAGAGTTGTTACTTGGTTACATCAATGTTACGTCAACATTACTTCAAAATTATTAGATTTTAAAATAAAACATTCCAAATTATATATCAAGAAATTAACATATAGATGCAAATATGAGGATAAAAAAAATTATTTTATGACTTCAATAACCAAAAATTCAATAAATAAAAATTTAAACCCATTTTAAAACAAAAAAAACAAAATCATAATTAAATCAAACTTTTCACTTATTCTATACATGATTCAACTAATTAAAATATTATATCATAATTGAAAATTCAATCCCGAATTTATGAAAAACCCATGAGCATATAACCTAAACCCGGTGTTGACGAAAATAAATAACAAAAAAAAAAAGTGTTCTTGAAAAATAGAGAACAAAAAAATTCTAATGCCTACAATCATCACATGTCGAAGTTGTACTATTGAAGGTTTGGCTTTGAATTAAGAAGGAAAAAACAAAAAGGTAGGGCTTATGGGTTTTGTCTGATATCTATTGCGGCACTATGCGTGCGGTAGGGCCGCAATCATGCTTCAGATTCCCGAATTGATAAAGCTTCCATTTCTTTTTTTAATCACTCCTTTTGCTTTCATCTGCTCAGTAGAACCAAACAAATAGTTTCACCTCATGAAGATCAAAATGGATGGGTACTAACAAAGCAACAAGCATCTCCTCTGCTGTAAATATATACAAAAAGCATCTCCTCACAAGCTAAGAGAGAAGAACAAAATACGTTAGGATTAGAAAGGAGTCCGTATTGGCTAATTTAGAGGATGATAATGAGTTTATAAGTAAAGAATACATCTCATTGGTACGAGACCTTTCAGGAAACAAAAAACAAAGTCATGAGAGTTTATGATCAAAGTCGATAATATCATACCAACGTGGAGGTTCGTGATTCTTACTATATCTCACAATTGAATAAATGGTCCAAGAATGCATGACAGAGAAACTTAAATAAAAATTTGAGTTTGTATTATTGGAGAACAAGAAAATTTTTAATGTACATTTGACCATGATTCAGGAACAAGCCAGTTTCATGAAATCATTTTTCCATGTAAAGTGTTTCCAGCTTTTAATCGCAACCATAAAAAAGAAGGGAGAGAATCTCATATTAATGTAAAAACGACAAAACATGAAGTTTGTAGTTGGTTATAATAGGATAAAAAGTGATGGCAAGAGGCATTTACCATCTCTCTTGACGCGTGTTCCTAGCCGTCTTGCTTGTGTAGGGTTTTCAACATGCCACGCGGTCTGAAAAAACAAAGATTTTCCCCTCAAATACTCCGAGGATGTTAGGAAATTGAGTAACTGGAAAAGGGACGGGAGTTTCCAACCTTTAACCACTACCGCGTTCTCGAAATTTCGCTGTCCCTTCTCAACAACCACCAAAGCTACTGCCATGACCATCGTGATCGTCTCTGTAAGTGCTCTGTTGGACCGTGCACTATGGACAACCATATGGAAACGATTATAGACCATTTTTCTTTCTTGTGCTAGGGGAATGACAACACTGCACTTTGGATATGAACGTTATAAACATAAATGGTTCATGATTGCTTAATCTCTTCTTATAATGAATTGAACCTGGAATTACACATGTTCAAAGCTTTCGATGCTGACGGTGGTATCTTCTGCTACGAGACTGAGATTTGTGTGATGTCCTATGTTGAGGATTGTTGGGAGAGAATCTCAGGAGATCATGAATTTATAAGTAAGGAATACATCTCTATTGATACAATGCCTTTTAAAAAAATCAAAAGCGGAGAATTTATGTTCAAAGTGGATAATATCATACCGATTTCCAAGTCAAATGTTGGATTTCTTCTTCTCTGGCCAGTGGAACCAAAAATACAATTCAGAGGGTCTGCAATAGCCTCGGTGCCTAGCTTAGTCTGCATATAGCAAAAGTTCAAATCAGACAGAATGATAAGAGAAAACATAGTGTCCCAGCAACGATTTACTTTTAGTGTAATGATAAAACAAGCAATTGCTTTTATTTCCACGATGTTCAAATTCTTATCAAGTATGAACCTTTGCCACACATATATGCGATATGTCCATCTATTAACATAAGAAAAGCTCGTTTGACCAAAATGGTAACATAACACCTGAATCCCAGTGAATCATTCCATTTGAATACACTACATTTAATTTGTTTTGGTGCAAGGCAACTTGTTGAGAACTTGGAAAAGACTTCCCTACGTCTCTGGTAAACAGTTCTCAATTCCAGGAAATTTATAATTACAATGCCTGAGATCATGCTATATTGATGAGTTGCAGTTCACAAGTACGGGGGGAACACGTTTATTGATATTTGGACTTCCAAATTTTGAATCCAAATTCCGGCATCAATTATCCATATTAAAATTATAACAGTAAGACTACTTCTACCCGAGTTGATGCTCGATTGTGTAATGATGAAGAAAACCGCATGATTTAAAATCGAGGGATGCACACAATTATTCTTCAAACTAAATAAGAGAAACTGTAAGTATTAATCAGATGGGGACAGGAACTGAATTATTGTACTTACACGTGAAGATAATTAGCACATGAGCATAAGCGAATAAATTCAATGTGTAAGATGAAACTAAGAATGCTGAAGAGAGCAAGAGAACTTTGACTATTGCTTAAAAATATTCCTCGAAGCTAAGCAGTCCTAGGAGAAAAAAACGCATTAACATTCAAAATTAAAAAGCTCCCTCTGGCTTCTAGGTATTTTCAGCGTATCAAATTTTCAGATATGGAAGGAAGATGAACTCTGCCGCATTTTACAACATACCTACTCATGTCACACTACCTCCAACGAGGGCTCCAAATGTAAAATCTCAGACAGCCTTAGACTTGCATGTTTGGAGCAAAGTCCCTTCCTCAATGGTCAAGCTGTTCTATGTTGTACAAAATGTTAGAAACCACGTCCCCACAATGGTATGATATTATCCACTTTAAGCATAAGCTCACATGACTTTGCTTTTGGTTTCCGCATCATACCAATGGAGATGTATTCCTTACTTATAAACTATGATCATCCCCTTAATTAACTAATGTGGGACTCCCTCCCAACAATGCTCAACAATCCTCCCCTTGAACAAAGTACACTCATAGAGCCTCCTTGAGGCCTATGTAGCCCTTGAATAGCCTCCCCTTAATTGAGGCTCGATTCCTTTCTCTGGAGCCCTCGAACAAAGTACACTATTTGTTTGACACTTGAGTAACTTTTGACTACACCTTCGACGCTAGCGATTTCTTTGTTCGATACTTGAGGATTTTATTGAGATGACTAAGTTAAGGGCATAACTCTAATACCATGTTAGAAGAAACCACAGCCTCCACAATAGAATAGGATAGCGTCCACTTTGAGCATAGGCTCTCGTGGTTTTGCTTTTGATTTCCCAAAACGCTTCACTATTCTTATTTATAAACTCATCATCGTCTCTCCCTCGGAAGAATTCTCCACATAGTAGAAAAAATAAGTTAAACGAAATCGTATTTTGCATTCCAATCAACCGACGTGCTACATATTAACGCAATTCTCAGCTCGAACCAAAATAGGTTCAGCAGTTCCATCAGAGAACCAAGTCAATGCCAAAAATGAGCTCAACTTATCAAATCAAAACAAGATAAAATGAAAAAACAGATTCGTCGAGGTTCTCTTTGGATCCTTGACAACAATCATTCTAAAACTAACTTGAATATAAAGCGTAGAGGAACTTAGGTGAGTTTGATAAGGTAAAAGTTACGGAATGGAAGAGAAAGCAAAGGCGAGAATATGAGTGGAAAATGAAATACCTGTTTGGACGTGAGAGCTTGTTCAAGTTCAAATAAAGCTTCGCCCATGGCGGAGCTCCGATCACCAGACACGACGATTGAACGGAGCGAGTGAGACCTGAAATGCAAAGAAGCAAAAAAATTGCCCTGGTTAGTTGGATCGTTCTAATTTTCAATTTTATATCTAATAAATTAAAATTGGGAGTTTTAATATATTTTTTAAAAAAATTAATTAAATAATAACAAATATTCCGCGCCAATTTTTTTCTCTATTAAATTATTATATAGATTTTATTTTGGAACAAATATTTTAGATTATTAAATTTACTTTTAAAATATTTATATTAGATAATTAATCCTGATATTTCCCTCCAAACCGCCGCCATTTCTCTGCTCTGCTTTCTAGCTTCCTTCAATGGCGGCGACCTGTAAACCACTCCAAACTCAATATCTCTTCATCTTCAACTTCTAATTAACCTAAATGCAATGGAAACGCTCAGCCACACAACCTCCATCCTCCCTCTTCAACTTCCCCCATACCCCACCAAACCCAACGCTCTCTCCGCCGCTCTCTCCTCCGCCACCAGCCTCCTCCACATCAAACAAGTCCACGCTCAAATCCTCCGCTCCAAATTCGAACGCTCCGATTCCGATTCCCTTCTTTTCAAACTGATTCTTTCCTCTTGTTCTCTCTCGCCCAGCCTCGACTATGCCCTCTCTGTGTTCGATCAAATTCCTGAGCCCAAGTCCCGTTTCTGCAACAAGCTTCTGCGTGAATTATCTCGAGGTTCCGAGCCGGAGAATGCGCTTTTTGTATACGAGAAGATGAGGGCTGAGGGTCTGAGTTTGGATAGGTTCTGCTTCCCACCTCTGTTAAAAGCGGCTTCGCGGAATCTTTCCTTGAGAACTGGGATGGAGATTCATGGACTCGCGTCGAAGTTGGGATTTGGTTCAGACCCATTTGTGGAGACGGGGTTGATTAGAATGTACGCTGCCTGCAGAAGGATAATGGAAGCTCGCTTGGTGTTTGATAAAATGTCTCAGAGGGATGTCGTCACTTGGAGCATCATGATTGATGGGTATGAAACTAATTTTGTTACTCTGCATTTAGTAGTGTCCATGGATGTGGTCGAATTCTGTTAATTATACGCTTTCTTGCATTGTTATGGTTGTATCTTTCTATCTTATGATTTTGAATTCATGGTCATTTTCTCCTTACCCTCAAATATTCAGGTATTGCATAAGTGGTTATTATGATCTCGCCTTTCAACTCTTTGAAGAAATGAAGAGAACAGGCTTGGAACCAGATGAAATGATTCTTTCAACTATTCTTTCTGCTTGCGCCCGAGCTGGAAATTTGGATTTTGGAACAAAAGTACACGAGTTCATAACTAAGAAGAATATTGTCATGGATCCTCACTTACAAAGTGCTCTCATCAAGATGTATGCAAGTTGTGGCTCCACGGACTTGGCTTGGGATCTGTATGAAAAGATATCCCCTAAGAACATGGTTATTTCGACTGCCATGGTTTCTGGGCTTGCAAAAGGTGGACAGATTGGTGATGCTCGCTATGTGTTTGATCAAATGGTGGAGAAGGACTTGATATGTTGGAGTGCAATGATTTCTGGATATACTGAGAGTGATTGCCCTCAAGAGGCTCTTGTACTGTTCAAGAAAATGCAACAACTGGGAATGAAACCTGATGTAGTCACCATGTTGAGTGTCATCTCAGCTTGTGCTCATCTTGGTGCATTAGATCAAGCCAAATGGATCCAAATTTATGTTGATAAAAATGGGTTCGGCAAGGCATTGTCTATCAATAATGCACTCATTGATATGTATGCCAAATGTGGGAGTCTAGAAGGAGCGAGAGAAATCTTTGGAAAGATGCCAAAGAAAAATGTTATATCTTGGACGAGTATGATTAATGCTCTTGCAATGCATGGAGATGCTCATACTGCCCTAAGTCTATTTCATCAAATGAAAGTTGAAAACGTTGAGCCTAATTGGATCACATTTGTGGGGTTGCTTTATGCTTGTAGCCATGGAGGTCTAGTTGAGGAGGGCCAAAGAATATTCCACTCGATGATCAATGAGTATGGCATAAGTCCCAAGCACGAACATTTTGGTTGCATGGTTGACCTCTTTGGCCGTGCAAAATTGCTGAGAGAAGCTCTTGAGGTGGTAGAAGCAATGCCATTTGCTCCTAATGCTATTATTTGGGGATCCCTTATGGCTGCTTGTCAGCTCCATGGTGACACTGAGTTGGGAGAATTTGCTGCTAAACAAGTTCTCAAGCTCGAGCCAGATCACGATGGCGCCCTTGTTGTCTTATCGAACATATATGCTAAAGAAAGAAGATGGGAAGACGCTGGGGAGGTTAGAAAACTTATGAACGAGATGGGCGTTTCGAAAGAGAGAGGATGCAGTAGAATTGAATTGAACAATGAGGTGCATGAATTTCAAATGGCAGATAGAAAACACAAGCAAGCTGATCTAATATATCAAAAGTTAAATGAGGTAGTTCAAACGTTGAAGCTGGCTGGTTATACACCACAGACTAACTGTGTGCTCGTTGATTTAGACGACGAGGAAAAGAAGGAATTAGTCCTCTGGCACAGTGAGAAACTGGCATTGTGCTATGCCCTTATGAATGAAGGGTCACGCATTTGCATTATAAAGAACCTTCGGATTTGTGAGGATTGTCATGCTTTTATGAAACTAGCCTCAAAGGTGTATGCCAGAGAGATCGTCGTTCGGGACAGAACTCGGTTTCACCATTACAGAGACGGTTCGTGTTCTTGTAAAGACTACTGGTGACCAATTCTTGTTACTTTTACAGAGACGGTTCGTGTTCTTGTAAAGACGGTATGTGTTCATGTTCTCTGATATCTTTTATAAATTTCAAGCCAGAAAAAGTAACTATCAAATAGATAGAAACCTGTTTCATTGAAGTTACATTTACAGATAGTATCAACTAACATCTTGATCCTAGAGACATGACATAGGAAAGGAAATAAAGCAATTTAGCTTCCACCAAAAAGGGAGGAAGAAAGAAAGGAAACTAAAATTTTAAGACTCCATTCTCCTCATGTTGGAGTCTTAAAATCATGTGTAGTTCTAGTCTGATGAAACATGGTTTTAACATCCAAGAACAGCCAAAGCTTGTTGTTCTTCAGTCTTCTTATGACTTTTGACATCCAATGTTTGAAGAAATCTGCAGCCATTGTATTCAAGTTCGAGTTCTCTAACAATGAGCTCAGTCGATACTCGAGAACCGATGAACGAGGATTGATTTGCACAGGTGTGGCACCCCATCCTTTCTGAACCAAAGAAGTGTTCGCCTCTCGAACCACCAAATCGATCCCTCCATCAGACCACTAGGAAACAGAAAGACCAAATCATTCAGTAGTATATCATCAAGTTTTCTGTCCATTATCAGCTTTTTGGTGTTCTTAGAATTCAACTCAGAAGGTTTTGACTTCACCTGTTTAATTCTGCCTGATAGGATCGTGATCGATCGTTGCGAAAATCCGGTACGAAACAGTCCAGCAGTCTGTAGAGGCCATCCCCATAAGCTCACTGCCCCTATGGCTGATTTGTACATTGTGCACCTTGAACTTAAGAGCATTCCCTCCTACATTGGAAGCATAATGTTAAGAAAACTGAAAATAAACCCAAAAGAGAGACGATTATAAGTTGAAACCAGAGTGTTTCTAAATCTACCTGATCAATTTCCCACATGGAATCCTTGCAACTGCCATTAGAAATCTCCAAATTCACGATCCCCTGCACCTCCCACAATTTCCCATTCAAATCATGCACGAACACCGACAGCTTCGGCCTAATAACCCTAGCGATCGCACACGAAAACCCAATAGTCATCACAAAGATCAAACTCAGAACAAAAACCAACGTCAGAAATCGATGCAACGAACTTGAATCTCTTTCCTCTTCCTCAGCCTCGAATCCCAAACTCAATTTCACCGGAGATATAAAATTAGGGTACTTCATGATCCGAGACGTGCCCGATGGCGGTGTCGTCAAAATCAAAGGATTAAATGAAATCGGAGTGGCTTCAACATTAGGTCTCGAAGCAGAGAGCTTCATGAGTGAGGTTTTTTGAACACTGTAAGACATTAGGTCCAAAGTGGCGTTGATACTGTCCAAGCAAATCTTGCAGTTGCAATTCGCATCTTTCCGGCAACCTGGATAGTAACATCTGTCGCGGGCTTCCGATCGCTCGCCTTCTTCCATGGCGGTGGCGGTGGAAAAAAGTACCGTTTTCATGGCTTTCTTTATGTCTCGTCTCTCAACGAGAGGGATGGAAAGATTTAACCAGAAAAGAGAGACAGAGAAATTGAATTGCCAACGGTCATATATTTTGATGCCACGTGGGATCCGTTTCTTTCCTAGCAATCTACACAAATACGGAAACTCTTTCTGATACGTTCAATTATTTTGCATATCATTTTCATTCATGTCAATATTTAGAAATATTAATTATTTTATGCAGTTTCATATTTTCATAATATAGAACGTTTCCATATAATAGCAAATTCGTTGTAATATTTGCAAATTTTATGATTAAATAAGGTAATATCTATCAATGGGACACGTCGCATCAAATTGTGTCAATGCCTCTTAGGATATTGCATTGAGTCGTGTCAATGTCTCTTGGGACGATGTTGTTGGAAGATGAAAGTCCCACATCGACTAATGTAAGGAATGATCATAGTATTAGAGTCATGCCCTAAACTTTCGTGCCAAGAGATTGGTAAATCCTCAAATATCAAACAAAGAACTCTAAAAGAAAAAAGGGACAAGCCTCCTCGAAGGCAGTAAAAAATGACTAAGACTCCAAAGAAGTCAAGCCTCGATTAAGGGGAGGTGCACTTTGTTCGAGGGGAGGTGTTGGATGATGAAAGTCCCACATCAGCTAATTTAGGGAATGATCATGAATTTATATTCAAATAATACTCTCTCCATTGGTACGAGGTCTTTTGGGGAAACCCAGATCGGAGCTTACAGTTCAAAAAATTTACCCAAATTTAGTAAGGTAGGGTTTTGGGGTATGAAGATTGACTTGGGCTTGGGCTTTTCCACCTTGTCTTGGCCCGAGATGAGTATTTGGGCTTTTTACCCAAATTTCATTTCTCAATTAGGCCCAATCCAACTAATAATTTCATCAAAAAATGGATTTAATAAGTAATTTTGTACCCAAAGAAAGCTTAAAAATGGCCGAAAAAACATATATTATTCCAATAATAATAATGACAACCAAGAAAGAAAGAGAGATGAAAACCCTAATTGGTCAATAGTTAATTAACAAATCTCCAAAAATCAGTACAACGACAGCGACGACATGTCGAACCCCACCTGCGACGAGCTCTTGGATCTCCCATACTTGTTAGCAGAAGAATTAGCCTGAGAAGAAGAAGAGGAAGAAGCCGACACGTCGCTGGACCTCCTCCTAAGCATGAGCCTAATTCCATCAGCGACACGAATCGCAGGGTTAGCTTTGAATTTACGACAAAACGACATGTGGGCATCGACAGCTTCTTCCAAGCCCACCAATGGCTTCTTGCTTCGCTTAGCTTCGTCTCTAACAGCCTCCGAGCAAAGCCCACACAGCCATTTCCCTTCAAATTTCGCCTTAACTTCGCTGATATAGAATTGGGTGCAGTCCTCTTTCAGCCCACAGCATTCGCACGTGACAACCACCTCGACCTCCATTGATGAAAAGCTCGAAGCTTTGGAGTTAATTGGATGAACAGAGGATGACCCAGAAATGGAATGGGGAATTTAGAAATGGGTTTAGATTTTCTTTGGGTTTGGAGCATCAATGGCGGAGGAGGAGAAAAAAGTGAGAAATTTTGGGGAAAAATAGGAAGAAAAAAAACGACAAGGGGTTGGTCGGAGAGGAGGTTGTTTTAGGTATTAAATACCAAAATTTTCTCTTACTCTTATTTGATGAATCTTTATAATAAATAATCCAAATTAAAACCGTTGACTCTAGTCGTCTCTTATTGCTTGGATTCTCTCTCTCTCTAGAAAAATCTATTTTTTTTTAATACAATAATAATTGAGTCGTTGTTTTAGTTAGTCTCTATTGTCGTTTGTACGACGTTTTTTTTAATTTAGTGACGATAAATGTTAAAATTAGTTGATGATAAACTTACTTAATCTACTTTTTATAAATTTGTTCTTAATTTTCTCGTTTTGGAAATGAATAATTATTATTAGCTAAAATTTTGGCTCCTAAATTTTAGATGTCAGGCTAATCACAATTGATCCATTCATTGATATATTAGCTTGATACATATTTTAAATGTCTTCGAGAACCAATACGACACAAATGTTTGGACCATGGAAGTCGCTTGCCTTTATAGGTCTTCGAAGTTCACAATTTTGGGAGAAAAAAAATATATATAAATATATGCAAAAGGTCCACATAGATAGCCTTGAAAAGGGTTTGTATCCTACTAGATATGTTTACTTTGTGATATCACAAGATAAGATTGCATTAAAATGCTATAGCCTACTAGATATGTTTACTTTGATACCGGTGGCCAAGCTAGAGAAATTCTTATAAGTAAATTGTAATCACCCAAACTCACTGCTAATAGATATTGTCTACTAATGAAAGGTTTTTACACTCTTACAAAAAATGTTTCGTTCCCCTCTATACCTGATGTGGGATCTCCCAATCCATACCCTTAGAGGCCCTGTATTCTTGTTGGCACACCGCTCGGTGTCTGGCTCTTATATCATTGTAATAGTCCAAGTCCACTACTAGCATATATTTTCACTTTATCCCGTTACCTATCGTCATTTGTCTCACCATTTTAAAACGTGTCTACTAAGGAGAGGTTTTCACACCCTTATAAAGAATGTTTTGTTCCTCTCTCCAATTGACGTGAGATCTCACAATCCACCCTTCTTGGAGGCCCAACATCCTCACTGGCACACCGCCCGATGTTTACTCTGATACCATTTGTGATAGCTCAAGCCCACCGCTAACAAATGTTATCCGTTTTAGCCTGTTATGTATCGTCATCAACCTCACTGTTTCAAAACGCGTCTTCTAAGAAGAGGTTTCCACACATTTATAAGGAATGCTTCATTCCATACTCCAACCGATGAGGGATCTCACATGAACCATCATATTTACGTAACCCGTTTATGACACTATCTACACTACCTAACCTACTCGAAACTTTGATTATGGTATATAAAAGCTTCTACATGGGTTACCCTTTTTTTTAATCTCTCCCAATGGCATTATCTAGTGGGACAATGATTTGTCACATGGCCTCCTCTTCATATTCAATATTTATAAGTGTGGAATTAGGTGGAATGAGTGAGTTTTGGGAGATACCTTCTTCACATGGGCAACCCACATGCTCTTACCTTCCAACAAACCCCTCCCCACATCAGTCTCTCTGCCCAATGACTCCAAATCCAATCATCAATACTGAATTAATACTTCTTTTTCTTCCATAATGAGAAGTATTTTTAAAGAAATCCATAATTTTCTCTTCTTGGGTCATTCAATCCCATGGAATCTCCAACCTTTATACATTTTCTTTTGGATGCAATTTCTGAATATTCTATTGTTTTCTGGCTCATCTTTTGGGTGGGGAATGGCAAAAATATAATTGTTTTATGCTCAATCATTGAAGTTCCACCAGACCTTTCACCCATTAACAGCCCAAATGGCAATTCCCATGAATTATAAACTTATCCTCTAAATTGAATTGGATGTCACACAAATCGAAAAATAATAATAAAAAAAATACGTTCAAGCAACTATTCTGCTAATTCTTTAATTCTTCGGTATCAGTCTGTTCAAACCTCCACTTAATTTGTTTTAAGATCGATCATAATTCAACTAATTAAGAGATCAGAGTATAAGAAACGGGTAGAAGTTAATATTGTATAAGTAAGAGAAGGGTAATGTTCATAATGAGATAAGCCATAACGTGGCTCGTGCGGCGGGTGGTGTGTCCTGACTCAATTATGTTTCCCATATATCAATCAAACTGCCATCCCAAAACAGGGGGCACCGATTGGATAAGCGAAGGGAGTCAGGGCCCACCCACGTGGACAACACAGTCAGCTCGCCGCATGATTGGCTCCATTATAGATTTAGGAGGGGCCCATTTAGGAGTGTCACTCTTTCACCTCCTAATCAATCTCATTTCAGTCCCTCGCTCTTCTCTCCAACAAGAATTTTGTGGAAGCTTAAAAGAGTGATAACAGTTTTTGTTTTTGGGAAGTAACTACCTAAGTTTCAGTTAGATTTCAACTCCATGTCTGTAGTCTCTAAGCTCGAGTCCGGAGATTCCTGGGGAAGGAGGCGGAGCAGCGGCAAAGGTAACAGTGAGCTGAGGTTGCACAGGATTATCAAGGTCGAGAGGTTGTCGAACGAGTCTCTGGTGACACCTAACATTTGTGTCAAACCAGCACCGATCAGGCCGCCGAGCAGACTCCCTCCGTTTGATATGGACATGAGGGTTGCAAAAAGGGTGGCTTCCATTCCTTCTGGACATAGTTTTGCTGCTAACACAAGAACAGGCATGAAAGATGCCTGCAAGAAAAGAACCGTTATAATCAACTAAAAATTCTGGTGAAGTTGGGGGAGGACAAGTACATGCATACTCCGATTGGATGCAAAATTGTACTTTAGTAAATATTACCTGACCAAGTACCGTTATAACCAACGAATCCCCGATCGCAAACCACTCGTCACTAATACCCCACTCTCGATTTATTCCCGTAACGAGGAGCACCTAAAAAATGACCAGAAAAGCAAGATAAGTAGATAATAATGTATGGAACACAGACAAGAACTGGTGAAATGTTTCTATCATATCACAGACCTGACTCATTCCAAGTGCACAACCAAAAATGGTGGTTACAAGAAAAATTTTCCTAAGAGGAACTTTCTTGAGAAATCCATTATAAAGCCCAACGCCAATCAGTGATGCTATCGATGTAACAAACTTGACACGCCCGAGAAATTCGGGAGTGAATCCAAGTTTATTTGTACTGAGAAAACAATAAAACCACGTTCGGGAGTGAATCCAAGTTAGATGCTGAGAACACGAAATCTTAAAAGCGACTAAAAATGTGGAAAAAAGGGCAACATTTAGAAAGATAGTGGCCATACGTGAAGAAAAACATGGCAGAATCTGATTGTGGTGTTGCCTGCCACAAAAAAATAAATAATGTTGGAAGAAACACATTTCTTTGACTAACAGCACCCCACAATTCAACAACGTGCTTTCTTGAGCTCCGGAGAAAAGCATAGTTAGCTGAAGGACGATTTATCCCTCGCACAGGTTGCTCTTTTACAAGAACTGCCACCAAAGACGTTATCAATGGCAGCAAAGCTGTGACTCCAAAAACAAACCTGAGACACCCAAATCACTTTTTAGAGTTCACAATCAGCGCAATTGTTCATGTAACATCCATGCATCAAGAATTATAGTACCTTACACCATATGCCTCCACCAGTGAGCCACTAAAGTAGGAACTCACTATTCCACCAAAAGCCGAAGACCCCCAACATAAGGATTGAAGAGATCCTGACATACTTTGTGATTCACCACGAGCCCTCTCAACTACCATGGAATCTACGACCTATACAAAATTCTGATGTTTCAGAAAAAGAAACACTAGATTGCAAACCATGTAATTACGGATAACGTACATTTATGAATCTTTGTCAAGTAGATTGGACGAAGAGATATGCAGATGCACAAAATTCTGTCTTAAATATTAACATTCTTATATTCACAAGAATAAATGTATGCTTCAACTGCAATGTCGTTTTTGTTTGTTTTTTCTCTAAAAAAAATAGGAAAAGGAAAGAAAAAACTACACTTCAGGTTTCCTCACAAGTGTCAAACTTGAACATTTAGTGGGGGGGAATGCTAGCGTGAAATATCACACAATTGAGTCAAATCCCATCCTCCGAGCCTGTCTCACTGGTGAAGAAAAGGGAAAGGTGTTGGAGGTTTTGTGATGACTAAATAAATTTCCCATCTCTCACATTGATGAGTTGTCAGACTCAGAATGGAGCCATGATTTCCTCAAAACTTGACCAAAATAAAGATACAACCAATAAAAGTGAGACTAGGATGTGCTAGACAGCTTTCAAGATGCAAGAGAGCCTTTATATATTCTGAGTGATGCGCTTTGAGTTCATCAATGCACCTTTGACCTTCTGAACTCGAATGATTGATGTCTTGTAAGTTTGTACATTTTGGGATATGTGAACCCAGGTAAAAGAGTTCATCGTGAACCATCCAAGATCCAAGCAATTAAAGAATGATTTCTTTGGGTAGAATCAAATAGCAAAGAAGCCTTTCAACAGATAAAGATAGCCATGACCATAGTCTTAGTATTAATTCTACTTGACTTCAATATCTTACTGCAGCCAAGTCCTATCTTTGCAAGCATGCCAACAAGTGGTATCCAGGAGAAAGAGCTGATAGCAATTGTTTCAGCTATGAAATGTGGATGTGCAAAAGTGGAGACCCCATCTCTTAGGCAGTAAATCCCTCATCAAAGTGATGATAAAGCTCTAAAGTAGCAACCTAGAACAATGGTCAAAAGGTAGTGGACAAATTTGCTAAGGTCCAAGTTTTAGACCCAATATCGTCCAAGATTGGAAATAAGATTGCAAATGCTTTTTCTCAAGTTCTGTCCTAGGTGACTCTTACATTAATTCAGACGTTAAGCACTTCAACGCAACTAAGACAAACAAGTGGATCTAACTCTTTCCTTTCACAAATCAAGCAGGGAGTATCAAAGAGGCAGAGTGTGTATCTACGTTTTTCAGTAGAATCTAACAAATAAGCTTAGGTACAAACAAAGGACGATTGGTTGTTTGTAAAGAGTTTACATCTTATTGCGCTTGTCCTTCGGGAATCTATGCAGCTTGCTTAAGGGTCACATATAGGAACTCAAAACATAGAACGAATGGCAACTGATATTTACTGGGGAGGGCACGAAATTAGTAGTAAGGGTGTTTGAGACACAGCATGACGTCTGCCAGGACAACAAATATTTGGTAAGGTCCTCAACTAGGCTATTGCAATCTCTGCCCATTTCTCATTTGCCTTGGGATGGCGTGAACTTCATTGAAGGATTACCTCATTGAGGGGAAGGACTCCACCATAACAATGGTCAATCACTTCACAAAATACAAAAATTTGAGGACTTTAAGATCCTTACACTCCTTCAATGGCTAACCTATTCACAAAGGAAGTTGTGACGCTCACATGATCCTGAGAGGAACTATGTCCACCAATGATTATGTGTGTTAACAATCATTGGCGAGAGTTCTTTACAATCGAGGGAGACTGATCTAAAGCAAAGCAAATCATAACGCCATGGGGATACCAGAGGTCATTGAGATATTTAGGGACTTAGCTAATATTTGAGATGCTTTAGGATATCGCAGGTAAAGAAAATGACACCACACCTTGTATCAAGTTTCCACCATGAACCCTCTAGAGCAGCTATTCACTGGTCAACCCACTCCTCCCATGGTGCATTGTATATCTATTTCTTCCACAGTATCTTCAACTGACATGCATCCACCGTACAGACACTGTGGTGGATGGCTTAATTCAAACTCATGCAAGCTAAGCAACTCATGAAAGTTAACGTTGACAAATATCATAGAGACGGGGAACCTTATGAAGGTTTCAGTAAAACTGCAACCTTATCAGCAACAGGGTGAAATGCGAAGCTGGGCCTCAAAGTATTATGGCCGCTACTGCAATGTGCTAAAAGGAGTATTGAAGGTTGCCTACCATTTTATTAGAGTATTAATAGGAAAATATTTGGAATGTTATTAGTATATCAGTGGTGGCCTAAATTTAATTACTTGGTAGTTTGTTACGGTGGGGTGGTTACACACCAAGGGAGTTGGAAACTTCAATGATAAGCATAGTTTTGGGAACTGGTCCACTGTGAGACTTGGTCTATGCACCATATTTCACACTCAAAACTAAGGATCAAAGTCCCAAATACTTGTATGTAAAGTTTATGTAAACAATGAATTATTATGATGCCAGCCTAAATTCTGGTCTCCATAAAAAGCACATCTAGCATCACTGAAAAAGTACTTTGATAGAAAGAGAGAAATAAACGCAAAGTAAAAGACACTTACAACATCTGAGAATGCTACAGAAAGAGATCCAAGAAGTATACAGAAAGCTGCACCATATTTGCTATCAACAAGAGTGGCCATCAAAGTCCATGAGAGTGCACCAAGCAGTCCTGATAAAATCAAGTATGATCTCCTCCGATAACCAAAAAGAGGAACAGAATCGCTGCATTTGCCCAAAAGCTCATTAGAAAATTAATTTTCTTCCATTTGGTGTTTGGTGAGACTGAGGAAGCCAGGTTGGAGACTCAGGTAAAGAGAGAAACAAAGAAGAGAAACACTTATACCTGATAAACCCATATAAAGGTTTGATAAGCCACGGAAAAGCAGAAAAGCCAGATACTACAGCTGTCTAGTCAATAAATAATATTTATCAGATACCTAATTACCACAATCTTTTTGCCTTGATCAAAACAAAATTCTGAAACTAAGTATCCTTTAAACACATGAACATTTTAAAGAATACTAAGATAATAAACTTCATTGAAAATTTCATCACAAAGGAAAATGACTCTATCACACCGAATAAAGAAGCGTTATACAAAAGAATGTCGAGCAGAAAACAAACGTCAAAAGTTCATAACATACAACTATCAGCATGCACCATTAAGGTAGGTCAACACTGAACATCATAAATTTGTAAGTAAGACCTAAATATTTATGATCCCAGGACTTATAGTATGTACCTCTGCCGGATCTAGGTGTAGGTCATCCTTTAAGTAAAAACTAACAGCAAGCCTTGCTAAGGCTAAAACCCCTTGAACAAAATAGACCATGGCGACAGCCACATTATCTGGGGATAGGTCCACCCCAAAAAATTTAATGGCGCTTGGATAATATTTCTTCTTATGAGCCGTATTTTGACCACCGTATGAGAGCATCCCTTCCCTGTCATTACCTGGATCATACAAGCAATAGAACAATAAGGGGAAACAAGTGATAAGGTACATTCATAGTGTGCAGGCTTTGATATAATATGATGAGTAGCAACCAAATGCAACGCTAAAGCGTCCAAAGCTTGAGAATCACATCAATGTCGTATTTACAAGCTATTAGAGCTCTTTTGCATCTAATTCTTCTAGAAATTAACAAATGGATGATAAAGAAGCAAAAAAATAAGATTAAAGCTTCAATCCAAAACTATTTCCTTCATCGATAGAAACATAAATCCATATACACGATCTATCAATCAACCTTCAGTGTGCACGCGAGGGATCATCCTAAACTCCGGAGATTCTGACTTTTCCCCCCTTTCTTACTCTGCAGTATTTGACCCCAATTCTAATGAAAAAATGAGTTACGAAACACAATTTATTTCGAAATCAGAATCAAAACTGCTCCTCCAATGAAACCTCTTTCTTCATCAATAGCAATCGCGCAATCAATGAACCTTTATTACATTTGAAAAACTCTCATCCTGGATTCCGAAGTATCTTTTGCGATTCACCATGAAACCGATTCTTAGCAACGAAACAAAATTTAAAGAAGACAAACAGTTCGTATTCAAATCTCAAAGTTCCAATTTCCAAAAACTCCAATAAATGGCGTACTCCTACGAACAAAACAAAACAAAACAAAACAAAACAAAACAAAATGATAATCTTACTACTCCAAGAATTAGGCAAAGACTCATCATCCACGTCCATTTGCGACAAGGGAACAGCGACGGACATGTCCTCTTTCAGCGACCGCGAACGTCAACTCCAGTTGAATGTTCCAGCGCCAAGAAGGGCCAGCTTACGACGTATCTTGAAGGAAGGAGGGAAGGAAGGAAGGAGGGGAAGGGCAGAATTGGGTTTTCGAAGCGTGAGATCGAGAAATTGAGAAATTTAATTAAGTTTCCTAATTTGGATTATAATATTAATTGCGATTTAATTAGAATAAAATGACTAAACTGACCCTCTTCTGAATTTGAGATGTAGTGTAAAATGAAGACCATGGAGGTGGAATATAATATTAATTAAGGCTCCTAATTTGGATTATAATATTAATTGTGATTTAATTAGAACAAAATGACTAAACTGACCCTCTTCCTGGTTGCGCCAAGAAAAAGAATTGAATTTTGACGATTTCGGTTGCTTTTGCGTGGTTGTCGATGTGGAATTTTTTTCTATTTTTAAAATGCTTTTCCACAAAGAAATGCCTCAAATTTTCAAAATTCATTTCCATTGAGGTTAATTTTGTTCAAATATGTCCGAAAATAAATTTAGTGTTAATAAATATATATATATATATAGAAAATAAAAATTAATTTATAAATAAATTTAATATTTTTATTAGCCAGAATCAACCACCTCGACCTAATTCTATTGACTCGTTAAATCATTACATGAAACTTTATATCTATGCGAAAGGAAAAAAAAAATATACATATTTATAATTATATTTAATTAAATGATAAGTTTAATATATTTTTTAAAAAAATTAATTGAAAGAAAAAAAAATTAATGTAATAAATTTATAATTTAAGATTTATTTTTGTTCGCAATTAATATATTAAGTCCAATTAGTTTTAGAAAACACACGTTTTATAATTTAAAAAATAAATAATAAAAGTGCGGCCCAAGCCCATATTCCTTTAAAGTTTAACTGGGCCAAGTTCAAAGGCCCAATTTAATCATCTAATAAAAATGGAAATTACAAAAATATCCTCGGATGCCAATATGAAAACAACTGGGAAGATCTTTCTTCCTCGATTCACTGAGAAAAAAAAGGTACGGCACTGGTAATGGATCCTCTCTCGGCTCTCAGAGACTTCACCATTCGAGGCGAGCTCGACAAAATCGTCCGAGTCAACGGCGAGTTCCGTTTCGGCTCCGACTATTCCTTCCCTTGCTCCGCCGAAACAGCTTACCGGTCCAAACAGGGAAATCTATACACTATAGAAACCCTCGTCTATTACATCAAGAATCACCATATCAAGCACACAGAGTACCTTCAGAATGCTCGTACTCAGGGAATTTCTTCCGTCACTTTCCCCGACCGGAAGCCTTTGCTTGATTATCTTACTGGCAAGGTCTCCTCCTCCGACGCCATCGAGTTTCTTGTCCCGCAAAATCCCAAGTTCCCCGATTTGCCCTCTGTCGATGAGTATCGCCCTGAAGATCCGGTGATTGTTGGTGCTGCTATAGATGCGGTGGATGAGGACGACGGTTTTAAGGACTCTACTAATGTTGATTATATGGCGATGATTAGGGCTATTGAGAGACCGTTGAAGGATAGGGAATCGTTGTTGGAATGTAAGAACAGGAATTTCTATAACGTGCTTGTGACCTCCACGAAGCGCGAGGAGGAGAGGCAGCGTATTGAATCGCAACAGAGGAAGGATGGTTTAGTTGCTAAGAGTAGGTTAATGGGTTCTGATGACAGGGGCTTGGGGGGATATGGTGATGATTTGGGTTATGATGCGAATCCGAAGCCGAAAATGCACTTGAAAGGAGGGAAGATTGGAGAAGGTGTGCCTATAATTCTGGTTCCGAGTGCTTTTCAGACTCTTATCACAATTTATAATGTAAAGGAGTTTTTAGAAGATGGTGTTTTTATACCCACGGATGTCAAGGTTAAGCAGATGAAAGGGGCGAGGCCTGATTGTGTGACCGTGCAGAAGAAGTTCAGTAGGGACAGAGATAGGGTGGTGACTGCGTACGAGGTTAGAGATAAGCCCTCGGCTCTGAAATCAGAGGATTGGGACCGTGTTGTAGCTGTTTTCGTATTGGGAAAGGAATGGCAGTTCAAAGATTGGCCTTTTAAGGATCATGTTGAGATTTTCAATAAAAGTAAGTGAACAATTGATCCCAAATTAGTTGATTTTGTTCCTTAATACTCTCTTTAAGTAGAGAAATTTGCAATTCATTAATAAGCGTGTTGACTGTTTTGCAGTTATTGGATTTTTTATGCGTTTTGAAGACGACAGTTTGGAATCAGCTAAGAATGTGAAGCAGTGGAATGTTAAAATTATTTCGGTAATCTTCTACTTCCCTGATCCTCCTCCTCTAACCTGTTGCATTGTCTTGATTCAAACTTTGAATTTTGAAATCCCCCTCCGTCTCTGTGCTTATTTTTGTTTGCATTGCCCCTTGTAGTTAATTCTTCCCTATTGTTCTTCAGCAACGTCCTGTAGTAATTTAAATAATGTTTCCTTTTGCAGATTAGCAAGAACAAGCGACACCAAGACAGAGCTGCAGCATTGGAGGTGTGGGATAGGCTAGAAGAATTTGTAAGGTCACGGTCTCACTCTTGATGTGAATTTTATCGCGCACCATTTTCCCCTTTTTGTGCCTTTACTTGTTGGGGAATGCTCTTGTTTGGTGTCCTGATAATCGTACCGAGTCTTGTTCCAGATGTATAATAACACTTCTAGGAATTCTTAATGAGAATTAGTTTATGACCAATTAGATTATTTGAAAGTAAAAGTTAGGAACTTCGAGAAATCTGAGTTTATATAGCTTACATGTTGCTAGTGAGATTGTATTTGTAAAAGTTAATGTATCTCTTGAGAGTTGAGTTTTATTGCTCCAAGCTTATATATGTTTGCTGCATTGCGCCTATGCAAGAAAATTCTGGGAGGTTAAGAAAGCATGATGGTACTTCCTTTTAAAGATGAAGAGCAGCTTCGTGTTTGTTAGCCATCCATAGGATCTTGTTTTGGTCTCTTTGTCGAGAAATAAATTCCTCACTTTTCAGTAATAAGTCTCCACCCTTCGATATCTTTTCAGATAATTCTCTTTGTACTGCCTTGTATTAGTTTAATGCTCATCCCCGTTTGCTGGTTATAGTCAGTCGATAATTGGTGGGTTCTTTTTCTCTTGTATTCACCTATGGTGGCTGGGATTTCCCCCCTTCTTTTGTACATTTTAGTCATCAATGCAGTTTGTGCAATTAGGAAATTCATAGTTTAGGCTTGACTTCACAACTTCAAGCTATACAGACTAATGTTTTCAAGGCACACTTCTTGCCATAGGTGACTATTGGTCGCTTGAGGGCCATTATAGGATAGTAGCTTCATCAAGGCTTTTCCCATCTTTGCTTCATTTTCTTATTATGACCATTTATCATGTGAAGGTATGCATTTTAGGCTGACTTTTTCCATCTTTACCTCTTCGATCCTTCTGCTGCAACCATCAAGTTTATCCTAGCAATTTGTTTCTTTTCCTTCTTCGATCTCAACCTTAAATTTTATCCCAACAAGTTCTTTTTCCTTAATTCTTTTGATTTTAGGCTGACCGTTTCTTCCTAGTTGCCAATATAAAGGGGGAGAAATTGTAGCCCAACGGCCATGGGATTAACGCAAGGGTCACAGAAACATACTAAGTTGGCTCTCTATTAACCGTTCGTTTGAAGTAGCAAGTAGTCGAGTTACCAAAGCAGGCTTCTTATACTTGTGGTTATTGAAAAAATGTAGATAATTCACTGGTAACTTCATTCAATTCATTTATTGATGATTCTTTCTTCTCCTACTTCTTATTGTTTTATATACCTTCTGTTTCTAACCACTGATGGAAGTATATTCACAAGTATTTTAGAACTCACAAACACAGAATCATGTATTTTATTCAAAAGAATCTCTGATGTAATACAAAGTTCTTGGAAACAAATGCCATGAGGAGAATATAAAGATAGAAAACACCTTCAACCAAAGGGAGGACACTCCAAAAGAATCTGAACGCAATAAATGACCAACCATGAACTATACTTATTAAAGATAGGCAACTGATAAGAAGATCAGTACAACTTGAAAGCTGAAGCATATGTAGAAGCCAACAAGATGGAGAATAGTAGAGGTTTTGACAAATGGATGGAGCTTCCGTCTGATGAGTTGTTGTCTGGTGATGGAACAGTCTTAGATCCAGTTCCTGCATATACAATTTGGTACGTTAATTATGTAGTTGTCATGCGAACGAAACAACACAGCACGCTGTTAAGCGTTTGTCATGTACATACCTGAAGGAACATTGTTTGAAGATTCCGGTGATCCTGCTGGAGAGCCGGTGGGAGAAGCAACTGGCAATTTTCAGGTATTAAAAGTTAGCACTTTAGTTAGAGTTTGATATTTGTTCATAACCCTAATGTCTATACATAAATAATCCTCCTGCTCATTGTTTATGTGCAGTGGTGCCCAGAAATTTTACACATGACTGAATGCTTACCATTGCAGCTGCTGATGGAAGGAGTCTGAACATTGCAAGCCTGGGGCAGAGCCAGAGCCTGGGTTTGGTTGATGTTGACCCCAAGCGAGGAACCACCACCATTCAGGACCTGGCACAAGCACTGTGGTTGTGAGCGGACAACGGTTGCAAGCTGTGTGCAGCATCCTTGTGATGGGGTAGAAGAGTTCCCTGTAATGTAATTCAGGCACGGTGACAAGCTGATCAGCACATTCGTACAGTCCGACTGTGCCGCTGCTCCTGCCCAGTGAACGGCAACGATAACAGCAAGCAGAGTCATCACCATCTTTCCCTGTGCCATTCTTCTATGGAGTACTATTACACAATTGCTTCAGTTAACAACTTGATGAGAACTCAGAAGGTAGAAAGTTTGATTTGTGAAGTTTCAGAGCAGAATTGTTCTGTTTTTGTAGGGAATGGAAGGAAGAAATGGACAAAAGGAAAGAAGTTTGATTTGGTGAACCACTTCTCCTACTTTCTTAACAGTTTTCTGTGGTAAGAGCTTTTGAGGTAAAGTTGTTCAAACTTGGGGCCTTGACACCTAATGAATGGTATATGGGGGTCGGTTAACAAGGCCACCAATTTCTTCATCAGGAAAGAACCCAAGAAAACTTAGGCGTCAAGGCTGTAGACTTAGATGGCTGAACTTTATTAATGACGTGAAGGAAGCGTATTCTGGGTTTTACCTTTCAACTGTTCTTGGCTTCGACTTTTATAACTTTCTGTCTGGTCAATCGTAATCCTAACCCTTTGAGAAATTGGTATTATTTTCATAAAATATGAAGGGAGCTGGAAAGTAAAAAGATCCGTCCCTCCCTCTTCAGATGCCACGTCCTTTTCATTGATTAAAATAGGGGTATGCATTTCAGATAAGGATGTGAAAATCTCTCTTTAGTAGACGCATTTTAAAATCGTAAAGCTGATGATGATGATAATATGTAACGGGTCAAAGTAGACAATATCTATTAACAGTTTTTCTTTTTTTTTTTTTTTTTTTTTTGGGGTGGGAATTCTTAATTC